GAACTTCAGGGAAATGATGATAATCTTTCTTTCCTTCCAGTTTTTTTTTTTAAGTTTTAAAAACAGCTTCAATATTTAAAAAAGATTTATGAAATTCCATTCCCCCTTTCCTCCTCTATTACAATAAGCACACATAATTTAAATTCAGAGTTTTATTTGTCATCTTTCTTTTCTCTGTTTCTCTTGAGGGCCTAGTAAGCAAGGCAAGAATATAGACATTTTGGAGAAGCATTCTTTTCAGAAACAAATACCTGTGGCCTAAATTGGCTGTGGGAGAACATTCAGGACCAGGTTTGGACATTTAACAGGACAATTCTCTGGGATACTTTGTTGTCTTAAATTGATTACAGAGTAGGAACTTGCTTTCCTCTGTGGAAAGCAAGAGCCAAAGGGTGCTGCTCACTCCTCTCTTTAATATGAAACCAGCCTCCAAGAAAAGGGAGAGTGATATGTCAACACAGTCTGAGACAGACCTTTCTACGAAGAGAAGTTCACTTTGCTGGGTTTTGATTTGTCAATGGCTATAATAAAATACATTGAAACATTAGTGGGTACAACTTTCTTTCTTCCATGTAAAGCAGGTATCTTTCATACATACATTCATTTTTTCTTTATCAAGACTAACCAACCTGCTACTATTGATATATAGCCCAAGTGTAAAATAGAATTGTGTTGAGAAATGTAATTCAGATCCCAATGGCAGATAATAATCTAAGCTAAGAAAATAACCTATTTTCCTAAAATGAAACTCTGAATTCTTACATTCATATCCTATCTGCTCATTCTGTAGCTAGCATCAAATAATTTCTGTTATGTAAGGTTGAGGCATTTTTATCAAATAATAGAATTGGTACGTGTAATTTACCAGGCTTCTTTTGCAAATCTGAGTGTGTAATTGATGTTTAGGAGCATAAAGGTGTAGAATAGACATGATGAAAATTGAGAAGGGTTGGGGGGCTTTGGCATAGTGTTATATAAGAAAGCAATGGACATATTTTGATGCATCACTCTTTATTGTGCGCTCACTATTCTGGATAATCCTTATAACTTGTAATCCTTATAACTATTTGTATTAGTTCACTAGTTCTCCTGGTTCACATATGAGAAGAAAGATTGTGAACAAAAACCATGGGGTCCGAATTGGAGAACCTAAATCCAAGTGCCAGAATAATGACGTTCCATCCAACTGTGGAAGAATTTAAAAATTTCAGCCGTTATATTGCCTATATAGAGTCCCAAGGAGCCCATAGAGCTGGACTAGCAAAGGTAAGAAGGGCTGGGAACAATGATGATAATACTATGATTTATTCATTTATGTTTAGTATAATTAAATTTGATTCAGAAAAATATAATGTATTTGGTTGGCAATCATAGCATAATACAAATGAGCAAGTTGTATTATGGCTAGATAGTATCTAGAGAGTTTATTAGATCCCATTGATGAGGAAATAGTGCTTATTTTTTGGGGGGGTGAAATCAAATAGTTATTTAATGAAAATCCTGGACTTCCACTTTTCTTCTCTTGTTGCATGTTATTTTAACTTCAATTGTTTGAAATAGACTTTGAAATGAAACCTAAATATTTCTGGATAGAGGTACATAACTATATTACAACTTTTATCTCTATGGTGTGTGGTATCATGAAGATTAATTTCTAGAACAAACTGATCTATAACTTTGGGTATGTAGAATTCTAAAAAGAGAACTGCACTCATTTTAATTGGTTGCTTCATAGATCTGTGCCAATCTGTTGAAAGTTGTGCTTCACAACATGTAGGAGCATATACAAAGCATCTCTGTTGAACCAATAAAGCAGCTGCATCTTATTCCAGGATTGCGTGGCTGCTTTGAAAACTGCTCTCAGTTGTTTACACACACACATGCATATGTAGCCAGTAAGCAAAGCAAAGCCTCACATGGGTGCTTTATTGTTTCAAAGATAAGTGCTCTGTACATTCACACATTGTGAGACACTGCTTTCAAAGGATTTGCACAGCCTTATTGTTTTCAGTGGAAAGAGCATGTACCATTTAGGTAGGCATTTCCCTTTGTATTTAATTAATTTTGGGTCTTCTTTAGGTCTTCCCAGTAAATCGGGTCATTAGAGACAATGGGTCACTGTCATCATAAGAGTCATTTTGGCATATGTGCCTGTAAACTAAATCACTGAGCCAGATGCATGGTAGTGCTCCGAAGTAGATTTCTTGATTATGAATATTAACTTACCTTGTGCTTAATTTTATAAAATTTTATAAAATGCCAACTTGTAGTCAAGAGGGTTGATAGTATTGCATGTGGATTACTACTATATGATGCTGAGGCATAATCCTGCTACTGTGTGTAGCTGAAGAGCCAGACTATTGGAAGTATTAGATACCTAGCATTTGAACGTTCTATTCTTGTGCTTATTTTTCCCATTAATTACTCATATAAAAATTACAGTGAAGGTTTTCTGGTATAATATAATCCCCTTAAAGAGTTATTTCCTGCTTTCATTCTTATAGTTTACCATATAATTTGAATTTTTCATCTTTCTTTTATTATAACCTAATGGAGCACCTGTTTATGTATCATAATATACTGCCAATGAACACTTTGTCCTGCCTAGGTGTGCAATGACGTCTTCAGGCCTTCTTCTTCAAGGTTTTACTTACTTCCCAGATTTTCTGAGTGTTTTCTGTTTCTTGCTTGAATTTTCTAGATTGTTCCTCCTAAGGAATGGAAGCCACGCAGATGGTATGATGATATTGATGATCTGGTCATCCCTGCTCCCATCCAGCAAGTGGTTACTGGCCAATCAGGCCTCTTCACACAGTATAACATCCAGAAGAAAGCTATGTCAGTCCGAGAATTCAGGAGGATAGCAAATAGCGACAAGTAAGAAAAGATTGTCTAAAATTGAAAGATTCCAAATATATGTATTTATATAGTGTGAGCTGTGGGCAGCCTGTAGTAATGGAACATAAGTTTGTAATAGTTCAAATCTCAAAGAGTCTTAATTTAACAAAGTCTTTGTTCTCAGTATCTGGCATACAGTATATTCCAAACTGGAATGTAATTTCTTGAGAATATTTGCTTCTGTATCATACTCCTTATGGCTCCAAAGAAGTGTCTTGTGAATGGACTGTACTGCTTCAGGAGCAGATATTTCAATGGATCGTCCCTGAGAAGCTCCATATGTGTGTTGCAGTCTCTGGATCAAAACCTAGTTTCTTAAGTGCATTTCTGTAAGATACTGCTGACCTGATATCTATTTCTGCTGTCTGCCTTAACTAAAACTAAGAGAATAACATTATACTAAAATAATATTGGCAGAAGTTGCAGCATCTTTCTAAGTGAATGATTTCTGCCTTTGAACATGATTCAGCTGAACTCTTAGTTAATTTTATTAAAAAATTTAAATGATAGAGAAGTTGAGTCTTTGGCTCTTTCATCTAGGATGTTTGTACATGATTATCTTCTTAAATCTAACTTCCGGGATGCTTATCTACAGTAATACGTTATTTAAAATTGGCCTTGTGATAATTCTTGACATTTGTCAGTGAATAAAGGAAAGTGAATAGACAAGTTATATTAAGACAGTGAACCTGTGCTCCCTTAGGTACTGTACTCCTCGGTATACAGATTTTGAAGATCTTGAACGCAAGTACTGGAAGAATCTCACTTTTAATGCTCCCATCTATGGTGCAGATGTTAATGGCACACTCTATGACAAGGTAAAAGAGGAGTAGGAGACATAATTAATAGCTTCCCTATCTGTTAATGGACGTTAACTTGTTTTTTGCACTGATTGAAATTTCATTTGAGTTCTAAGCATCAATTGAACTTCCTAGGTTTGACCCCTGAAAATTTAAATGTGTATATAGCTGAAATATATGAAGCACTGCTCTAGAGACTAGTATATATAAACAATAAAATATGTGTTGTCTTTCATTATTAGAGACCTCTTGTTTACACTAATTGGTAATATACTTTGTCTTTATACAAAATTAATCCACAATAATGTTCATAAAATACAATTATTTGAGTACCTTCAAAAGGACGTTTTTCATACAAATATTTGAATATATAAAACTAAACTAATGATAGCTAGTTTACTGGATACTTTATTCATGTATACTGTATATGAAGTATTGCTTATGTTTTCTGAGTGCAATGAGGATTCTTTGCAATAATGTGACATAATATGATAATCTTATTAGCAGATTCCACTCAATATAGTGTCATCTTCAGGTCATTCTGCTAAACCCTTTCTCAATACTACTATACCTTCCCCCTAATTAAAATTACAAATAGGCAGGAACTAAAAGAACAGTGAGATACAATAAAATAAAGGTTTGTTTTTACGTTAAAAATAACACTGATATTAATATTAGCAGAAATTGAAACTAGATGTAGATGTTTTGAAGCAGGTTATAGTGAATGGAAGAATGATTACAGTTGCTGTCGCATTAGAATAATAGAGTTTTAAGTCATCAAGTTCAATCCTTTGCTCTGTATTTCCCAACAGGTTATTATTTAGTATATGCTTGAATATATTCAGTGAAGGAGAGCCTACCACCTGTTGGTCAAATTGCTAGTACAGTTAGGAATTTTTTTTCTGGCATTAGGTAAGCACCTACCTTCCTGTAAATTAAATCCAGTATCCCAGATCCTGTACTCTAGAGTGATAAAGAAAAGTCTTGACCTCTATGTGAAGAATATCAAGGTGATTGCTATTAGTTTATTGCTTTTTTTAAACTGTGTTTAATCTATTTGTAGCATGTAGATGAGTGGAATATTGGTCATCTGAATACAATTCTGGATATAGTGGAGAATGAAAGTGGCATTACCATTGAGGGAGTAAATACGCCTTATCTCTACTTTGGGATGTGGAAAACCTCCTTTGCCTGGCATACTGAGGACATGGACCTGTACAGTATCAATTATCTGCATTTTGGAGAACCAAAGTCCTGGTGAGATAGCCTGTATCAGTATATGTGTGCGTGTGTGTGTATCAAGGATGTGCATCCCTTTTTAATTGAGGATCACATTTGACAGCAAATGACATACTGAAATCTGCAGTCTAAAAATATATGCAGCTGGCACAAACAGGTCAGAATAAAAACTAAATTTGATTTGATTTCATTTAAATTGAATTAATTAAATATTATTAATGTTATTCCCCATGTGTTTAATAATTTTCTATCATATTACATTTTGTACCTGAGTTTCCCTGGTTTTGTGAGAGAAGGAGCTGCAGGTTGTGCAACCCTGCTATCTTTTGCCTATCTTTAGCTTCAGGTTTCTCAAATTAACTAGTAGTGTAACCTTGTGGAAAAGCAAGCTGATTTTCTCAGTGTAGGAATGAAACAGTAAGTGGGAAATGATTAAATTGGTTTATTATATTTTGGCATCACTATATAACTTAGGCCTAAAAAAGCTTAACCTTTTGCTATTATTTTTGTAATTGTCTGCAACAACAGGTACTCCATTCCTCCAGAACATGGGAAGCGGTTGGAACGTCTTGCTAAAGGTAAACATCTCTCTCTCTCTCTCTAAATAGATCTGTATAGTTGATTGCTTTTAAAGAACAGTAGCAGCTGCTTTTTTTTAATTTTTACCTAATAATAATCCTAAGCTGACTTTACTAATATAAGAGCAATAATTTTGAAAAATTATGGAACTCTTGTTCCGTTATATCACTTTATTTATAAATGTCCCAAAAATATAATACTTTTTGAACTTTTGAAAGTGAGAACTTTCTTAAAGCTCTCTCTACATTCTGTGAAAAAAAATAATGAAGACTCTTAAAAAAATAATCTAAATGTCTCTGATGCTTCATTATGTGTCAAGAGAGGGAATAAAGAAATGGTACATATCTCTCTTTTCTCCATTTGGAACAGTGGATATAACTAGACTTCCTCTTGTCTGAAAGTTGCCTCTAGGCTCTGATTACTTTGTCTTTCTTTCACACATTGCTAAGCTTAGAAGAATCCATACTAATACATATTCAGTCCTGCAGCCAACAAGTTTTGTATGAATAGCCATTTTCAACAATAGCATGTTGAATATCTGTTTCTTAAATAGGGTTCTTTCCTGGAAGTGCTCAGAGTTGTGAAGCTTTCCTCCGACACAAAATGACCTTGATCTCACCATCAATACTGAAGAAATACAGCATCCCATTTGACAAGGTAAGGAAAGAATTATGGCTTGGCTAATATTTTAAGGAAATCTAGAAAGCCTGAGGTTCTTATAAGATTGTAGGAATTGAAGCTGAAAAGGCCAGATGGGAATACATCCTATATTTTGTTTTCACTTCTCTAAATTAGGAATAGTTACACACAGTAGGGAGGTATCAGCAGACTTAGGAGAACACCCCCCTCCCATTTTTGCAGATGCTCAAAATATCTTTAGAGGAAGAATCTTGAGTGGGGAGCACCCTGAAACAGCCAATGAGAACTGAGCATGTGGGAAGAGAGAAATAGAATAAAATACATAGCAGGAATCATGTGATTGGAGGTAATTTCTTTCTTCATACTGAGAATACTCCCTCTCAGTTTTGGTCTGTGTATGCTTTTTTTCACATAATTCATGGAGAATTCCATAAATTCCCAAGATACAATTTTTGCTTTGCTAGGATATTTGCTGGGCTATCTTTTCATCAGATAATTCTTAGAAAAAGCTAGATATAGGGACTCTTTTATTTCTAGCTTGGTAGTACTGAAAATTATAAAATAATTATCAAATGAATTTTAGAGATTATATAAAGTGCAGAAATCCATACCAGCTGCTTCTCTTTCAGGTGACTCAGGAAGCAGGTGAATTCATGATAACTTTTCCTTATGGATATCATGCTGGTTTTAATCATGGCTTCAACTGTGCTGAATCTACTAATTTTGCCACTCTTCGTTGGATTGAGTATGGAAAGCAGTCTGTTTTAGTAAGAATCTTGTTGCTTATTCTTAAATGATTGGCAAACAGAATTTTGGATCAGCATTTATCAATTTAATATTTTGAGGTCAATGGGGAATGCATCCTATTTGTTAACAATGTAACAAATACTGTGTTTGCTGCTAAACATGAGCTTTGAAGTTGATCTAGCCATTTTAAGTTTGGATATCTGTAAAAATGTATTAATAGTCATTCATACAAATAATCCTCTAGTTAGTTTGGGGAGAGAGAAGACTTCAGATGGAGAAATGTAGAACTCTAAGAACTCTGAATAGTTATGTAGGACTACTGTTTTTGATATAAATGTCAGGGTGACAGGTGTAAATATTTAGTTAAGGATAAGGTATGCCTGTCTGCATAATTCTCAAGAGAGACTTTTTTTTTCATCAGCTATATAAACAGTAAGGCTTGTGAAATGGAAATAGGATAATAATGCTTGTTTAGTTCTCATATTTTTCTGATATGTTAGCATTCCTACATCCCATTTTTTAATGAATCTCTACTCTTCTTCTGTTAACTCATAAGGTTCATATCTGCTTCAGACATACAGCTGCAGCCTCAGCTATCTGTAAGGCCATTCTGTGCACTGTTATTTTATTTAATTATTAATAGTTTTTTAAAGTATGCAGTGCAACAACAGATGCTTTGTCAGAAGGAAAGCCCACAACAGATCTATAACTGGTGATATCAAACAAATATTAGATGCATGTTGTTTTGTTCTCCTCTCCCTTTTTGCAACTAATTACTTTTGGGCTCCAATCTTTGTAGTCACTATTCATTCTTACTAGGAAATGGTATAAATCTCTTAAGGCATAGCTGCAGAGTAAAGTTAATATTGAAATGAAAATATAAGTGGCCTCAGCTGTTTTGTTATCCCATGTAGTGCTCATGCCGTAAGGACATGGTCAAAATCTCCATGGATGTCTTTGTGAGGAAATACCAGCCAGATCGTTACAAACTCTGGAAAGCTGGGAAAGATGTGACAGTCATTGACCATACTCTTCCCACACCAGAAGCAGCTGAGTTCTTTAAGGGTGAACTCCTTCAAAAAGTTAAGAATGAGAAGCAGTGCCCTGAGGAAACTGAAATAGAGGAAGAATGCAAAGGAGATGAAGATATGGAGAAAAAGAAGTATGCTTTAATGTTTTTATTTTCATAAATGATGGCTTAACCAATGTTAGATACTCACTTATTAATCCGTTGCATCTGTGGAGCTTTTTCTATTTTCCATGTTAAGTGGCTACCAATTACATTGGGACTTGTTTCTTCTCCCTTTCTCCTTGTTTTGTTTAATTACCAGATTCAGTAAGTTTTAGAAAATGTGTATGCAGTCTTTAGTCCTCAGTAGGCTGTGGAATATGAACAGAAATTAAATTAGGGATTGGGACCAGACTGTTCATGAAAAAATTGGAAAAAGCATTTCAAAGGATATTGTGAATTGCTTTAAATTAAATAATTCATCTTCCTAAATTCTCTTGTAACTGTCTTCTGACCTGTTGTAAATTTATATTGATGACAGATACTTTGCATTTGAAATAGCTACTATCTTGTTACATAATAGTCAAGTGTGTTTCATTTGAATCCTTTGGTTAAATTGGGTTTCTTACAACTGAGGAGAAACCAGTTCCAAATATTAATATGAATTGAAAGTTCATGTGCTCAATCATCCTTTGACAAAATGATGTTAAATATAATTTTTTCTAGAAATTTTATATTTGCTTCATAGTGATAAGTGTATCTCTTTTTAGAGCTATGCTTTCTCAGATACTTCAGAAAAGTCATAAAACCAACTGATTCTTCAGAAAGAGCAATCTGATATGAAAGCTGGGCTGAGTTCTATTTAAAAGATGACTTGTTGGTTTCTTTTTGCAGTGTCCCAAAGCATCGCATTGGAACCAAGCGGCACCGAGTCTGCTTAGAGGTTCCTCATGAGGTGAGCGAAAGCGAGTCCTTTCCCAAGGAGGAGCTGGGCCCAGTGCAGTTTGAGATGGAGGAAGCAGCCCCTCCAGTTGGACCTGCTAGAGAACCTATACAGCAAGGGGATGAAGGGCTTGCACCTCCAGGTAACTTCTTGGGTGCTACTTATCATGGTAGCCAGTCTCATTTTACTTGTTCCAATGTGCTTAGCCATAATGAGATTTGTTTAGTTTTGGCCTGGTTTGTTGTCTGAATGTAGCCAACCTATTTGAGGTTTAGTGTGATGCATGAACCCAACTTCTGTCTTCAACAGATAGAAAAATATTTCAATATTGGGAGGAAAAATTCAGCTTGTAAACTGATGTAGTGCTTAACTCTGGGTATGGAAGATATGCTCAAGAAACCGGAGCATCTGCAGAGATATTAGATGAATTACTTGTGTTCCTTTGACTTCAGCAACATAAGAAATTAATAGAATCATGTCAGTAAAACATAGAACAAATTCAAAAATTGAGAAGTAGCCTCCAGGATTGGAGACATTCATCCCAAAGTTGTTCAAGAATTCTCATGGAAGCCACAATTATGACATGAAATATGAAATCATTAGAAAGTGGTTTAATTTGTAGTGTTTTTTTAAAAAAAACTTGAAAAGATTTGGAAATGTGTTTTGATAATCTCAGGGAGAGAAAGAATACAACACTAAAGAACAGGGTTGGAGCATATATAAATTGATAACAAAAATTCTGGAAACTGACTAAATGCTTGAATAGTGAGAAATTAAAGGACAAGATATGACATTGTGTTATCTGTTATTGAAGTTCTAGAGGAGATTCAAATTACAGGAGTGAGGCCTCTCTTGTAAAGCATCTAACTAGACTGGGCCAATTAATAGTTCACATCTTGAAACCCTAGTTTCAGTTTAATTTTTAGGCTTTTATATCATAGAGCATTTTATTTTGGTGACAATTACTGAAGAGTTCTTCAAATACTGTTTTTGATCCAGAATATGCAGATTCCTCTGAAGTAAAATTTGAAGAACTGAAAAATGTTAAACTAGATGAGGAGGAAGAAGAAGAGGAACCAGAAGCAGCTGTCCTGGATCTTTCTATTTCACATTCTGTGTCTTCAGTTTTGACCCAATCTGCCATGAAGTCAAGCCCAGTCTCCAGCCTTCAGTCTAGCTCTCCTTTGTGTTCTGGCTCTTCAGACTCTGAACCTCCTGATCTTTCCAGGCAGTCGATTGAACAAGCTGAGGTGCTCACAGTTCATAGTTATGCTAAGGAAGAAGTGAACGGCATGGAGACTGGACAGTCTTCCCGGAAGAAAACCAGTTCCACAGCTCGTATGGATGAACAGGAGCTTGCAAAAGTAAGATTACATCAGAGGGTACATCCAAAATCTGTCTTATATAGTATATGCTACAGACACATTTTACTGATCGTGATACATAGGATGGGCTCTCAATAGACACTTGTCTTGGAATCTTGTAATTTCTAATGTACTTTCTGTCTGATCTTTGCTTTGTGACAGTCTTATAAGCTGATATGTAGTTTGCAGAAAATATTTCTAGGACTATATTTGCCACATTAGGTACCAAGTAAATGTATTATCGGTGTAGTTCTGCATTCTAAAATACAGTATTCTATCTGTAATACAAGTCTTGGATGCCATGGAGCTTAAGCAGTGCAGAAGGTACAAGTAATTATCACTTTGTGATCTGTCCAGGAGGTACTTTGTGGAAAAACAATTTGTACCTTTCTGCTATTCTTCCTGCTTCTTACAGTTTTAAGTTCTTGCAAAATCTGTTAGTGCTGTAGTGTAATCTAGAACATTATCCGTAATACAAGTCTTGCATGCCATGGAGCTTAAGCAGTGCAGAAAGTACAAGTAATTTTCACTTTCTGATCTGTCCAGGAGGTACTTTCTTGAAAAACAATGTGTACCTTTCTGCTATTCTTCCTGCTTCTTACAATAGAAGAGAATATATGTAGCTCAGGGTTGAACTGTGGAGTCCTTGGGGTTCTTTGAGCTTGGCTGTTTTCTTGCAGACATTTCACTACCTGACTAGGTAACATCTTCAGTGCTAGACGGAAGTGGGGTTTGCTCTCTGTTTATATATAGTAGCTTGCCCTGTCAGTGTTAGTGGGGGAGTTGTTTTTTCCTTGGTAGTGCCTAGGTTAGGCTGTTGTTACTGCTTGACTGTTTGAGTTGGTAGGATACTGTTTACTGCTTGATTGTTTGTCTGGTGTTAATCTTGGTGTTAATCCCTGCTTATCTGGGTGTTGATTGCTGGCGACGGGGTGTAAGGTTTACATCTTAAGTAAACCAAAAGACCCAGTAGCCCAAGAAGAAAAAACAGAAGTCATCTACAACATACAGTGTCCCACTATATAGGGCAGACAGGCAGAAAACTACCAGAACACCAACTAGCAGTTAGAGGACATGATGAAAACTCCTTAATCTCACAACACATGGACAGACTTAACTATAGTTTCAGCTGGGAAACTGTCAGCATCTTAGGTCAAGCTAAGTCCAAAAACACGAGGGAATTCCTGGAAGCTTGATATTCAGACAAGTCAGCCATCAATAGACACATAGAGATAATAACATTTACATACTATTCAAAAGAGACAATAAAAAAGAAACAAT